TAAATAGAATAGATGATAATAGAATAGATAGAATACAATTTGGACAACATAATCTAATAGCATATGAATCATCTAATTTAACTTTCAGAAGTTTACCTATATATCAAATAGACAGACAACAAAAATGCTTAATAGACAATATATGGATAGCTCATAATAAGAAGGACACAAAGTATATAATTGCAGTTTTAAATGCATTAGGATTTTATTTTAATAGTAAAAATAAAGAAAATAAATTTAAATACTATGTTGTTGTTCATGGAAAAACAAATGGAATTTTTCAAACTTGGATAGAAGTATTAGATTCTATTAAAGGATTTTCAAAACCTCTTTTCAAAGGTTTTAATGATTTTACGGAAGCACTAGATTATGCTAGAGGGGTATTAGGCCCAAATTATTATATCTCTCCTTCTCTCAAACAAAATCCAGACAAAACTCCTCAATACCACATTCAGAAAGACACAGACAAGATTATATTTTGCGATCATTGTTCTTCAATGACCGAAGCTTTTAAGAGGTTAAACCTCAAAAATGAAATGTAAGCTCAGGAAAATCTCCAATTAAAAGAAAGAGTTCAGAAAATGGAGAGAGACAATCAGATCATTATACAGGGGTTTCCATCCCCAATAAAAATGGATGAGATGGGTGTACATTCCCCTCTGAATGTAAAGAAATCTACTGTATCGGATAGAGATACAGCTAGTCCATCTCAAACGGTAACCGGTAAAGACTCATCAAATCCGTTAATGGCTTTCACTTTGCCAAAAAGTGAAGTAGAAGAAGGTTCATCCTCAAGAAGACAATTACCAATTTCCTTTAGCCAGAAAATTAGACAAAAAACCAAAAAATTACAAAAAAATAAAGACTTAGAATCAATTATAACCAAAACTGTAGAAAAACTACTAAAAGAACAGCAAGACAAAGACAAACATATAAACCCTAGTCCAATACAAAGCCCAATACCAAGCTCAAGACAAAATCCAGATATAAGCCCAAATAACTCAGACGGATTTTCAGACACCATGCAATATGCTCAAGACCCTAATGACTATGATTCGGGTATGAGTTTTGATTCTGTAGCTTTACACAATTTAGACACTTAAAAAAAATTAATAATAATAATAATATATACAATAATGTAGTCAAAAAAAAGGAATGCCTCTTTTGTCAACTATGTGATTCCCACTTTACTCACTACCACACATTTGTGGAAAAACTGTTGGGACGCGTCTTTACTTTATTTAAAAATAGACAGTTTCTTTAGAAAATAATTGAATTCTAACAAAAGGACGAATGATAATGCAAAAGAAGGAATCATTTCACGTGCGATGGGGCCCAATGTGCACCCGGCGGAAAAGATGAAATTATTTTTCATTCTGAGATCCGAAGTTTGAAGTCCATTTTTGTGTATAAATAGAAGACATTATCAGAAGAAGAAGAAGTAGAGAGCGAAGAAAGAGAAAAAATCCACATTCTGCAAAGCTTAATCCCTCCAAAAAAATCCTTTCTCTTTGTTTAAAAAAAAATTCTTTAGGTTCTTAGATTTCATTTCAAGTTTTGTGAAAAGTTATTTTGGAAGTCGTTCGGGTTTCCCGAAAGGGAAACTTCACTCTGTTCTTATAATGTAAGTTTCATATTTATGTTTCTAGTACAACTTCCCATATATGTAAATTATGTGTGCTAAGTTCATGTAAATATATGAGTTTTATATATTTTAAATTTTGTTAAGTTTATATATCATCATGAATCTATTTTACTTAGTATATGGTTAGTATCTTAGCGTCTTAAAATTATTGATGGATTAACTTGTAAATTCCTAGGAAATTGTGGGGTCAGTTCGAAAGTTCGTGGATGAACTATGAATGACCAAATCCGGGGTGTAGTTAAAGAAAATTAATTTTAAGAACAAAAGCTAAGAGAAAGAGATGAACAAAAAAAATTGATTCATGAATGGACAGAGTCCATAAAAAAAAGAGGGAAGTTAGAAACATAATATGATAATTACATAATAGAACAAGATAGAGTGAAGGAGTACTGAGTAGGACTGTACAACATTAAGAAAAAACCACACTATTTAATTCAGAAACATCTATTTGAAACATCTTCTTATTTTGGTATCATATATATATATATATATATATATATATATATATATATATATATGAAGTATTGTTCTATCATATGATTTAAATTTTCTGCCACTTTTATGATGCAATGAAAGATGTCTAAGGGCTGGTCTTAGACCTCCGAGAGGTCGACGACGTTGTGTAATGACTCAAGGGTGCTCCTTTCTCCTAGGGTGTACTTGCGGGTAGTAACAACCTTAGTCACGCAACAATCGTCATCTATCTCTATCATATTGATAGTGGCGTCCCCATGATTTGGCAAAGATTACTGTTGACATTGGGCGCGACATTCTGGAGGGAGACTACTTTCTTGTCAATCAGGTCTTGGATTTTGTGGTTGAGGTTAATATAATCCTCTGTATCATGACCAATGCTGTTAAAATGAAATGCACATTTCTGATCGAGTCTGTAGAACCTGGAGTTAGTATCCACCGGCTTGGGCCCCACTGGATGGATATAACCTGCCGCAGTTAATCATTTTGGTGGGTTTTTTCTTGAATTTGGAACGAGTGGGATCGTAGTTGCCTTGTTGAGGAGGAGGCATCTGACAATCATTTTAGACGTTAAGATGGGGGGCTTGATACCTTGGGTAGGTATTAGTTTTTGTAATTATGCAATGGAACTTGGTAGTTCAGGGGGAGGGGTTATTTTGGTAAACTGGAGCTTAGGCTTGATATATCGAGGAGTGCTCTCGGTAATTTGACCGCGCGTTGGCAGAGTTGGGAACAATGCTTTGTTAATGATGAGATGGAGTTTGGTAAGATGTAGGGTAATTTTTGTAGATAGAGGGTGAAGTTTGATAATTGGGAAGGGGAGTATTTTGATAACTGGGAGGAGGGGTACTTTATAATCAGCTTGTCTATAACAAGCATGTATGAACTCTATGAAGGTCGAGACAGACCTTGGGACGATGAGGATCTCCTTGGGGTCTTCTTCCCCTCATAAGAGATAACAGAGACATCTTTTTCTTTTTTTTAACAACCTCGATGATTCGGGCGAGGCAGCAACCAGGCAATCTTCTTGATTCTTAATCCATCTTTGATAGTGTCACCTACATTAATTATCTTGGCAAACTTTGCTCCAACGAGCAGCATGATTCTGTCATACTACTCGGGTTCCTAAACCCGCACAATACTTCAACAATCTCCTTTACAAACATAGGAGGCCGAACTCTAGCCGTCTTTTTTTTTGTCATCTATATGAAAACTCTCTGTAGCATTCATTGGATTTCTGCTTCATCTTTTCTATGGAATAACAATCAGGAACAATTTCCACATTATAAGCAAATCGTTCTATGAAATCCTTAGCCATGGCATTCCAACTAGGCCACTGTCTTTTTTCGTGAGACGTAAACCACTCCAGAGTCTCCCTGCTTAGACTTCGGCTAAAGAGCCATATCAGCAGAACCTCATCTCTAACAACTCCCACGAGTTGGTCAGAGTAGACCCTTAGATGCTCTAAGGGGTTCCCTATTTCTCCAAAAGTGCCAAATTTTGGCATCTTGAATCCTTTTGCTAGGTACAAATTCTGATAAATGCATAAATCCTCATAGTTCAGACCGGCGACATCAGGATTACATTGCAACTCTTTCAATGCCCTTCGAATATCCTCTTTTATGTCTATCTTCACGACCTCTTCTTTCGACCTCCACTCCCTTTCATGTTCCTCATAGTGGTCGAGCTCAAAACCATTCACGTTGTTTTCATTGGGAACAGGGATTCTAAAAGTAGTTTTTGGGGTAGTGGTAAAGCGACGAATGAACTTGCAGCATTTTGGGTGGTTTGATAGTTTTGAGGGGATGTTCGGGGACTGGTCTGTTGATTTTGGTGATGGATGGGCATTTGGGGGTTATATGTGTTTTGGTTTTGTGGGGTAGAGTTGTTTGGTAGTTGGTATTTTGAGGGGGGGTGGCATTTGAGGATTGTTGTTTTGAGGAGAGGGTGGAGTCCGATAGGAGGTTGAGGCGTAGTGAGGGTTCTTCATGGTTAAGTCTATGACTGAAGGGTTTTGAGCAAGAGTAGAAGGTGGGTTCTGAGCTTGTTCCATGTTAGAAAAAGAGGGAAAGTACAATAGAGTCCTTCCATCTGTCGAAGCATTGGAAGTAGAACTCGGTGGAGACAGATCTTGTCTCCTCTACATGTAAACCCTCATTTCGACAATCTATTGCATCAGTTGCATGATCAGTTCATCCTGATCTACAATGGCAGGTTGAGCTAACACAATGTCAGTCATGCTGATTTCTTCATTGTTGTCACCCATCTCTACTTTTCCTTTATGTGAACTTTGGTCGGGAAAGGAATCTGTAGGGCCTTTGGATCTAGTGAAATAGGGATGATCAGCCCGTTTTATCATAACAAACCAGTATTTAACTACTTGTAGAAAGAAAATAACATAGAGGCAAATTTGTTAGTTTGAATTCACATGCATAATGAAGAATATCACACAGAGAGCATATAAACAAACAAAGTCCCTTTGTTTTAGAACATGTTTACCCACGAGTAATGGGGGACTTTTTTTTTGAACAAGGAGAAATTTGCTTGTTTTAATTTGAGAGTATCTCAAAAAGGTTAAATCACGTTGAGTTATGGTCTTGTTGCTGCATCTTTTGACATCCATTGATCTAGACCTCACATTCACTTGTAGAATGAATAGGGAGAATGAAAATTTTGAAAGATAGGGGTCGTGCCTTGAAAGGATGCCTACGTATCTCACACAGAGAATTCATGCCCTACTTAATTTGATTCCAAAAATAAAGACTTGTTTTCATTCATTCATTCTCAACGGTTACAAGGAAATTGAAAAACAAATGGTAAAGCTTCTAAAGATAAAGGTGACTCCATCTTAGTCAATCTTCTCCTTGTTGTAGCATTAGTCATGGGGAACAAACTCAACTTGAATATTTCCCCTGTTGACAATGGATTCCGCGTCGTGGCAAAATTCAAGGCACTTTTCAATGCTATGATCAGTGGCTTGGTGATAGGGTTCAACGCTTTCGAACTTTATTTCCAAGGGAATATAACACTTTTACGTCCTTATATAGAGGGACAAAGACCCCTTTTCGAACCAATTGTAAGTAGATCTCCAGTATTATTTTCTTGAAAGGTGTGACGGAGCAACAGTAGAACTCAGTCTTTTCAGTGACCGATTTGTTGAACCTTGGTTCATCACACGCAATGATAATGTTGTCAGCCTACATGTTCAGGGCTAAGTCATCATCGAGCAAGTAGCGGGCTGCGGTCTTAAACTCCACACACTCTTCTATCGTGTTCCCCTTCTGGTTGGGATGATACACACAGGTTTTTCAATCCTCCGATCCCGCTAAGGAGGTGATTCCCTTTCTAGGTTCCATAATATCCGTAGCCTAAAAATGCTCATAAAAAAGGGCGTACGAAATGAATTCCATCCTGATTCGATTTGCCTGAAGATATAACTCAAAAGTGACTTTCTGGTCCTCTTCTGTAAGACGTATTTGGAAAGGAAGCTCATGGTGTGCTCCTTCCCAGAATCTTCTTCCATTATCTCATACTTAATATTTTCAGGGGCGAAGAGTGTGTTATATAGGGGATTTTACTTTCCGCATAGCCTCCATATGTCGACCATCTCTTCATCCAGCATAGCGCGCCTCTATATCTTATACGTCAACTCCTTTTCTAGTGGCGTGCTTGAGGTTTTAAAGTCCGCGGCGGTGACCTCTACCTCAAACCTTTTTACCATAGTCTCTTGGAGCGTCTATTCAAGCAACTGTAGATCCTCTCGGTTTGTTCAATCTTGATGTTCTTCCCCTTATCCATAGATGTGATTTTAACTTTCCTGAGATGATAAAGTAATGTTTAAGATTTGGGTACTAGGAGTTTACTTTTGGTTTAGAAACTTAAGACTCGAGAAATTTGGTCGGACATTTTTAATAGTGACTTGTATATATTTTCTTGGAATTTTTGACAAGGAGAGGGTTAACGTCTTCTTCAAAAGAACATATCACATAAACAATTAAAGAACATATATCGCTACCTAATATGTGGGGGAACCTTTTGTGCCAAGGGTAGGCCTAGCATATTTGAAAGATGTACATGTGGAATTGAACCATTTAATTATTCCTCAAGCAAATTCCACATATAATAGTTAATGTTCAAAAAGGAAAAAGGAACCAAAATATAAAAGGCGAGCCCACGTAGTGGTCATTTGAAAAACATACCGAAATACAAGAAAGACAAGCCTAAGTAGGGGCTGATAATGACAGAAATACATATATAAAAACTCACACAGGGGAGAGATACACTACACCCTTCTTGATGTACCTGCTTCTAGGCTGCTTTACTATGTCGTCTTGTATTGCTGGAACGTGTATCTTAGTATCAGCAAGTAACCCTCGCTCTGGCGTCCTTTTTCTTCCCAATCCTCATATTGATCCCCTCTATCTTTTCCTTTAACTCATAATTTAAGCTCATCAAAACTGCGTCTCAATCTTTCCAATTCCAGAGTTGTATTCTCGAGAGCACATTGATTTTTTAGAAATTTGGCGTGTGTTTCTTGGGATTCCCGTTTTACCCTATCTTAGCTCGATCACAACTTTGGCCTTTTTATCTTCACAGTGCGACAACTGTATGGGACTGGATCTAGTCTTTAAATTTTCCAGATTTGCCCAAAATAGCATATCGTTCAAATCCCTGAGAGTGTTCCTATAATCAAGGGTATGCAAATTTTGAGTCCACCATTGGAGGAGCAGGTTACAACCTTGAAAATAGCGATGACCCTCTTTGCAATTTCCCCAAGTTCGATACATGTCCGATAAGATGACAGGATCAATGGGATAATACTTCACTTATGCTAAATTTTGATGCTCGTCGAATAAAGTGTGCAAAATTATCACTCGAGTGTTGATACTTTGGCTCGGGCCGTGTGGAAAAACTATAATGCCCAATAGCGCGACAGTGAACGCTAAAGGTCGGATTTCATTCCATTTCTTGTAGGTAACTCTAAACTCTTTATTGTAGTTTACATAAAAGCTCTCATTCTCGAATCTAACATAGAGGTCCACAAATCATACACTAGATTTTTTGGCCCAGTAAGCGTAGTGCTTTCCCAATCCAAGCCAGTTTGTAATATCTTCGACAGAAGGCTAGTTAGGGATCAAGATGTTTTCTTGTTTTCTTACTCTTCTTTCTAGTCTTATACCAACTGTGTCGATACAGTCTCGAATTTCCTCAATTGTTGGGATAATTTTCACAGTTCCAAATCGTAACACCATTTTTTTGTTATCCCAATACCCTGTGAGGACTTCAATGAGTTCAGGTCAATGAGTCATGTTGATTAGTTCAGTTAGGGGCACCCACATCTTTGTTGAGGGTTCTTCTGTGATCCCCGTCAAGGACGTTATAGCACATCTTGAGTAAAAGTGGTGTTTCCACAACCATGTCAAACTTAGGAAAATGATCTATACCTACAAAACAACACACTGTTAAGTTTCCCCGCCTCCAAATTAGATTTCCACACATACATCGTTCAAATGTCAAATAATATGGTATGTCGTTAGATCAGAGACCTTGGACATGATTTTGGTGGTTTCACTAATGGACTTAATACACCTTGGGTATTAAGACATCTTAGACTAATACTTAGATTTGGATTTGGATTTGGTTTTTCTCTACCCTAGGTTGACTAGAATTAGTTTAGAAATGACAGTTACCCAAGTCGGACAAACAATGGGGTGAAGATTAATAAAGGACGTTGGATGATAGCAAGCCAATTATTCGTTTATTACTTTCAAAAAGGGACTTGTGTTTTCTGAAGGGCAGCCGTGGTAAGCCACTTAACCCCCTTTGTCTTAATGTATTGTATTTGGCGTTTGGCGGAGTCGATGCCATGAAATGCAACAGTTTAAGAATACGATTAATAAAACAAGTAAACAGATAATTACACATAGCTAAATAAGTTAGTTTTAGGGTTAGAACCATTCAAATCCCCAGCAGCGTCATCATTCTGTTTTATTTTGTAAAAAATATTTTATGTTTTTTAGACTTGGTTTTAGAGTCACCACTTAATTTTAGGAAAATCAAGAAACCTTTTCTTTTTTTATTATTATTTTTTTCAAAAGATTAAAACAATAATCTAATGAAAAAATCTTTAAGGGGGTTTTGGGGTTCTTATTTGTATTTTAGGAAGGTGTTTAAAACACCTAAAATAAGTGTTAATACGGTTTTCCGACAACTAAAATGTTTGGCTTAAAATTACTTTGACTAGATTCAAGTTTATTCGAACTCCTTAAAAGAAAGTGAAATATCATCCTAATTATCTAAGTGAAATTTGGCTTGAAAAAATTATTTTAATTCTATTTAGACTTGATTTATTTATTTAAATTGTTAGAAAAATAGCATCTTGCTAGGATTTAAACTTTTTAACCCTAAAACTAACGATAATTAAACAAGCAAATAGACGAAAACCAAAAAGGGAAAGAGAGTGAGTTGGGTCCAAATCTAGTGTTTGTCTATCTGGACTGGTATTTGGACACATTTATTTTTGGGGCTTTCGCCCGTTTAGATAGTACCTTCCTAAGGTAACCAGATAATAATAAGTAAATGAGAAGGCAACAAGGGCTTAGGCCCAAAACAGCAAAATACAGAATTTAGAAAAAAATAAATTTGGGCTTCTTGGCCCAAAATCATCAAGTTCTTTGACTTCGTAGCCTGTTCATCAGATTTAGCGGCTAGTTGACTCAGAAAAGGGAAATTGAGCCATCGTGGTCTTATCTCGAAATGCAAAGGAGGAAAGGAGAGCTCATAGTGAACTCGGACAAATAAAATGCAAATAAATACAAATACATGAGTGATAAGCATAGTAATTCATAAAAGAAAAATGAAATAGCAATACATCTCCAGGAAAAGGACTTAAAAGGATAATTAATAGAAAGAAATAAATAAATAAAAGAATAAAGATAAAGGGAAATTGACATGCCAAACTTACAATTTCACTAAAGTTAGTGTTAATGTGAAAATGGTAAAGAATCACCAACAAGACAATTCTCCTCTTTCAGATGACTTCCAATGATGTTTTAACTCTCACAGCAAATCGAAAATAGACAAGTTGAATCAACCAAAAAAGTTCAAACTTTGCACTAAAGAAATATTACTACATGACTTAACAGGGAAGACAAGTAATCGTGGATTTAAAGCGGAAATTTTCATAGGTCACACCAAAACTTAGAGTCTCACATTTGTAATAAGACACAAATGCTTAACACCAAAAACAAAACTTGAAACTCATGTGTATTAAACTCAAATATACAGAGACCACCAAAAGTTGCAGAAATAAGCACAAAGAAAAAAAGAAACATATTACAAGGAAATTCAGTGAACTATCAGTGTCACAATTATACACTACTATAAAACATATTATGTAGATTGATTTTGAGGTTCTTACCCATAAGCGAAATCAAGATGATAAAATAACTGCATATGCAACTAAATATTGCTAAGATGAAACAATCTCGGACTAGTAAGAGAGAGAGAGAGGCGACAAAATTCGAAAATCTCTTGTTAACCCTTGTTTCATGGATCGAGTTCAAGCAACTAGACTTAAACATGGATTTTAACAGTTTACCATCTAATATAGATTCTAAAGAATGGGAAATAAAATCTACACCTAATAATGACTCAACGGAACAAAGTAGATAAAACGAACAGTGGCAGGTGCAATAGTTAGTTGTTAACATGTAGGACGACAAAGTTACTAAAACTAGCACTAATCACATATTTTTTACAAATAAAATCAATGAGAGGACCGACATGAAATAACCACTTCAATATCATTAGGATCATAACAAGCTATAGAGAAAGGAAGGGTGAGACATAAAGGAACTCATGTTGCACAAATCATATTTGTCAAAACAAATGGAGAAGATTGTGCAAGAAGCATTCAAGTAGTAAGCCATAAAAAAATGAGCCATTAAATTAAAACTAGAACATCACAGAAAATGACCACTCAATCTTAGATCGATTCAAAAAACATTTGAAGTTAACATTGTGAGTAGACGAAGAAATGAAGCAGTGAATGACCATGAATCTGGACAACCTTACATTCTCATACTTTATATTATTATCTTTTTTATTATTTTTTATTTTTACTTTTATTAGAAAAAATTTATGCAGAAAACTCATCAAGGCAGTCAAAATATAGTGGAGATTAAAACGCGAGCACATATGGCTTCAAAGGCAACTAGAATCTGGCTTCACATATACCAATAAAAAACAACAAGCGAGAGATAAGAAAGATACAGATTTACCTTCGTCGGAGTGGCAAACTAAAGATGACTAGGAGCATTAAAGGAGCGCGACTTCATCGCAAATTTCAGAAATAAAACTTTACGGAATTCGGCAAACTCCCTACAACAATGAATAAGTGAAGAGAATATATCTTTAAGACGTATTTGTTATGTTATAACTCAGCGGTTATTTTTCAATAAGCTCTAAACCAGAAGAGAAAAATGAAAAAATAATAAAACCCTAAAAAAACCTTTAGATGGAGTAGAAGAGATGCATAAATATATGGGGAATTAGGGTATTTTTATCTTTGGGGGGGGGCGGGGGGAAGAAACAAAAAATCGACAGAGGGACCAATTCAAAAAAAATTAAAAAATGCCAAAAACTTTCTTCATTTTCGGCAGACATATTTTTTTCTGACAATTTTGACCTTTTATGGAAGAGGAAAGGTATAATAGAAGGCTGGATCGACTCCCATTGTACTTGATACTTGACGTGTCTTCATCCGAATGTTGTAAGGACGGAAAACTCGTGCTTTGCTAGTGCTTCTACTACTGCAACCTTCGAAGACAAGGACAAGGGGAGGACAACGAAGAGGGGCAAACAACTGCTTATATACTCCATGTATTGTGATGCGAGTGAGGAGAAATCACTCACGCCATTGTAAACGTCGCTTAGAACTAAAAGCGTTGGAGAAAATTCCGTTCTTGGCATTGTTGATGCCGTTGAAATCATTGTGTATCATCCCGCATGTATTGTTGCTCTGTCGCGTGTGTCGCTGCTGGGATCGTTCATGTTGGGAATGCTGGAATAGTTGGGATTAGAAAAGGAAAAGAAATCGGGTTGGGTTAATTTAAAAGATGGGTTCAAAGAAGATTGAAAAAGAGGTGGCTTGGAAAGTTTGGAGTATGAGTGGGCTGAAATTAATTAAAAATGGGTTGGCTCATTGTGAAATTGGACTGGATCGACTCGATGAAAAGGGATTTGGGCTGGGTTAAAGTTGGCAAATAGTTGGTCTACTGGAAGAATTAGAAAAGGCCCAAAGTTTGGTTTCTTTAATGGGTTTAAGGTGAGGAGGTCAAGGATCGGTTGGATCTTGAGTTTAAGAAATAGCCAAATTGACTAAAATTAACGAAGTCGACTTAAATTTAAATAATACAAATTAATATTAATTCATTAACAAGCTTCTAAATCTTAATGAAATAAAATGATAAAATTAATTGTAAACTAACGATTCTAAATTATAACCAAAATTTACTAAAATAATTTAATAAAATACTTACTAGACTTAAAGTCTTTTTGAGATAAGTTTCGAAATATTTATAAAATATATTAATTGTATACAAAATTATATAAAACACACATATTGCTTAAAAATTATAAAAATGATAAATTAATTAAAAGTAATTTGAAAAGTATTTTGAAATTTATTAAAAAAAATTAGTCATTTCAAATCTTTCGAATTTAGGAAGCTCGATGTTTAATTATTATCAAGGAGGGTCAAATTAGGTGCCAACAATAACTTTTCAATTTTATCCGAAAATCTATCCACTATGTTATAAGTCGCTTCTTTTCTCTTTACTTTCTATATGTTCTCAAATCTCAATATTTGATAGTGAGGAAACATATGGAGCCTTGATTGTTCATACGTAACTTTATGTAATTTACTAATTTTTAAACCAAAAAAGATAAATATTGGTATACTATATAATAGTAACTCATGTTGATCTGCTTAATATATTGATGAGACAAAGAACCACTTTTATTACACTTTCTTAAAGGTACGATGTTAATGTTCTTTGTGAATTTACTTTCACATTTTTCTTTATAAATTTTATTTCTAAACTACTTGAATTGATTTTTAGAAGAGTCTATATGTTCTTGGATGCTCAATGTTTCGGAAACATATCCATAATTATTCGTTAACAATTGTAGGCAAATAATATTCGGCAAAGCCTCAAATATACCCATGTACTACATGAAATAGTTTAAGTATACCCCTAATTATACTTTTGGGCTAAATATACCCCTCTCGTTATACTTTCGGGTTAAGTATACCCTTATGACAAACAGAGGACACATGGACGGCTGAGATTAAATGAACTATTCAATTTAAAATAAACAAATCCAGATATGACCCCCCCTCCCCCCACCCAATAAGTTAATCTGACTTAATATGTAATTCTAACCCACCCAATTTGTCTTCCTACCAAAAAAACCTAATGGGCGACTGAGTTCCTGCACTCCAGCAATGTTTGCGCCTCTGCTTCGCAAACAGTATTGATCAAAGGTATCATTTCTCAATTGAATGCGGCTACGATTAAAGTTGATACTTTGAACCCGACGTTGGACGAAATTATGATTGAAAGTATGAACTTGAAGGAAAAGTGGATGCAATGAAGGTTTGAACCAATTTTGAAGTAAACGAATCAAGGATATTGGAAAATAAAGTGAAGAAGATGAAGACATTTATTATAATTTTGTGTGCTCTTTTTATTGGGTTTGTTACATATAATTTGATATATGTAAAACAACTTATCTTTTACATATAGTTGTTGCACCTTAGCTATGAAACAAATGTTGCTACATTGTTGCTTCATGTTTGATCAACATCTCTCTCAAAGGAAAATCGAGATATTTTGTTTGAACATTTTACCATGAGATTCAAACTGTATGAACTTATTGAGATTATAAAGAGCAACTAACTAATATGTTTTACATGACTTGCCAAGATAGAGAATGTACTTACAGAAAATGACGTTCTTTATGCTCTGAAAAACAAAAATCTTCAACACCAAGATTCGAACTTTTCAAGCGGCACAAGAAGATGAGTTTCGGTGGAGTTAGTTGACCGAGTTGGGCTAGTTTTAAAATTGAATAGTTTATCCCTTTTCAAATATTATACCTTCTGGGTCATCATTCTGCCTATTCTTGACAGCGATCATTTTGTTCATAAGTATTTTCTACCTCAAGAATATGCAATTCTCATTCATGCATATGTTCCAGTGGCAGTCATCTACTTCTTGAGCATCTGTATTGCATACGTCATGCTCGAGTCCAAGAAGAAGAACCATTATAGGGAAAAGGGTCAAAAATACCCCTCAACTTTAGTTTATTATTCGACTTTACCCTATCCATTAAAATGAAGTTATTTTTGCTCTCGCCTTCACCAAACTTATCATTTGTACCCCTCAATGAATGGAAAACCCAAATAAACAAGAAATATCCAATTTCAATTAAAATAACCCAATTTCTCTTTTAGTCCGGATTGACCCACAGACTCATCCCAAATTAAAAACCAAAATCTAGATCTCTACCCTTCCTCTCCTTCCTCAGTTGAAACACCCTATTATCAGTTAAAACCCATAACTAAGAGGCAAAAAAGCTCCACTACAATATCATGCTCCTTCTCCTCACAAGGTAAGTCATTTTCTATTGAGTTAATTTCATTTTCTTATGCTAATGGATATTTAATAATGAAAATTGCTAGCATATCTCATTAGCGGGTAAATTGAAAATAAATAATTTGTAATTTTGGTCGGTAATTTTAGAGAAAATTTTGTGTTTTCTTCATTTCAAAAATAGAGTTGATTGATCAATGATGAATACGAGGTGGCAAAATCGACGATGGTGTGGACGGTGACTGAGACAGTGCAACTGAGATTGTGGAACTCTATGGGAAAATCAAGATGGTGTAGCCGGTGATGAAGACACCGCAACTGAGATTTTGGAACTATAATTTGGTGTTGGTGGTACTTAATATCCAGATACCAGTGTTTATTTCTATAGGCTAACATGATCTCCAAACTTTTTTGACCGGAAGGTGCATAAGGAGGTATTAAGCAAAGCCTTACTATCGTTTTATCTGAAGGGTGGGAGGCTGTCGTTTTATCCGATGGGTGGGAGGCTGTGTAGGGACGAAGATTGCCATATTGAGATTGATGGTAATTGGTAAGGGCCAAGGTGTGCTGTTTTGCAGAAGTTAAGCTTGATGGTGTGGTGGATGATTTTGGTGATTTTGCATAGACGTTGGATCTCCGAGGCTTATTCCAGCAGTTGATTACTTAGAAGGAATAGAATCTTATGTTCTCTTAGTGTAATGGGTAAAGGATAATGAGTGTTAGGTTAAATGGGTCGGGGCATTAGGTTTAAAATGGGAATTATTTTCTTAAAAAAAATCGAGTTAATTTGGGTCAATTTAAGGGATTTCATCAAATAAGGGGCAATTTTGGTGAATTTATAACGGGAGGGGTAAATTCAACTTCATTTTAACGGCGAGGGTAAAACCAAACAATAAACCAAAGTTGAGGGGCATTTTTGACCTTTTTCCCAACATTATAAGGCTGCGACAATAGTTCATTTTTTGTTCTATCGAATTCATGATAATTGATAAAAAAAATTGATATATATTTAGTGTTTCTCGTTTTGACTATCCCGTATCATAGAGAGCATACATTTTTCTGTATTTAGTAGGGTTAACTTATTGGGGCGGGCGGGCGGGTCGTATCCTAATTGTTTTATTTCAAATTGAATAGTTCATTTAATCTCAGTCATTCACGTGTCCTCTGTTAGTCATAAGGGTATATTTAACGCAAAAGTATAAAGGGAGGGGTATATTTAGCCCAAAAGTATAACTAGGGGTATATTTGACCCTTTGTCGTATAATATATTTGTTAAGATAAAAAGTAGTTGAATTTTATGGCACCTTGGACAATTTTGGAGGATTCAAAGATGGAGAAGACACGGTTAGGTGGATCCATCACAGCAAAGGTATCTTCACAGTTAACTCTGCCTACAAGAACCTAAATCAAATTGGGACTCAACTCAGATTTTTGCCTTGGAAGCTTATCTGGAAAGTCAAAATTCCATATAAGGTGGCAGTCTTTACTTGGTTGGTAGTTAAAGAGGCGGTACTACCGTAGGAGAATCTAATGAAAAGGGGAATACATGTGTGTCCTAGATGTTTTTCTTGAGGAACAGGCACAGAATATCAACCATTTGTTTCTTCATTGCAAGGTGGTTAGACAATTGTGACACTTATTTACCATTTTCAGGGGCACAAATTGGACCATGCCACAAAGGGCAAGTCAGGCTATAGAAAGCTGGAACAATGAAGATAGTGGCAGTATAGATCACCAAAGTATATGGAGAATTGTCCCAGTAGTGATTTGGTGGACCATATGGAAGGAGAGAAAGATGAGATGTTTTGAGAGTATTATTAGTCCTTTACACATAATAAAAATGAATTGCATAATCACTTTTTGTTATTGGTACAATTCGGAGTATGTAGATGATCCCATAACTGATATATATATATATATATATATATATATATATATATATATATTAGGTTCTTTGTAAGGTAAAGTAGGATCTTGTTTTGTTTTGAGTACACACAAATGTATGTAGCTCCACACGATGTAAATTTGGGATCCCAACCTTTAGTGTTGAAAATTAATACACGAAACTATTACCTTTGTACAAAACATTTATATATTTCCATTATCAAATTTAAATGCTCATAAGAACTCTTGGATACCATTCGAGAGATTTCTTATTCTTCTTCACTTTTCCTTTCATAAATGCAACTGTTACAAAACTTGCAGACATGCCATTAGTTTTCGTAAATTTTATTTGTATCACCTAAATCTTGATGTAAATCCACATTACATGATTTGAAAATTTTCAAAATAATAAAATTGACATATTTCAAACGGCTAAATCTCTTCCTGATTATAAATGCATGTCCATTAGAATTATTTTAATCACAATTCCCCTAATCTCATTTAAGGATAAAGCTGATTGATTTCCATTTAAGTCATTTTACTGGGAACTGAAAGACAAGGTAACTGGCTTGAACATGCAATGATAAAAGATCATCTTCAAAATATAACAAGTACTACATAATCTTTCAATGTTACTTTAGTGTGTATAATATGATTATTATAAGAGTCTCGTGTTCTTTGAATTCATAGACTTGCGAGCCCAATGACTAAAACATTATCAAATGTTTAGCAGGTCACTTTAATGATTAGACACATGAAATGATTACATATTGTATAATCTGAGAATTTTACGAGAGTGATTTGCGGAAGGAATACGAAAATCAAGTAATTTAGAAAATTTACGTCTCCTAAGTCTTCAAAAATGAGGGTGTCAATCGTTTCTAAAATCCTCTCTGAAAAAGAGAATTACTAAATATAATATTATATTAGATAGAATTTACCAGTCAATATTAACTTTGATATTTATAGAAAGAAAATTAAGTAATCAATTTGCATAAGTTGTCATTCAAGTAATAGTAATGCGCTAAATGAGGTGAATCTGATAAAATGACGGAAATCACTCAGGGTACTAGCAAGTACACATAAATACTCTTTTTAATAATTTCACACCCCGAGCCTACATCCTGGCACTCAAAGACCATTGTTGGCCTAGAGCGGACCATTGGCCTGGCGTACTTACTCTGTAAAAGACTTAAAAACATGATCTTATAACTCAAGGAACAACTAAAATAAAATCACTTAGCCAAAATGTCAACTCAAGTCTTAATTGTTTACAAGTGAAATAAAAAGACTAAAGAGCTACTACTATCTTTCTATGAAGCCTCTAAACAAAAAGGGATGTTGGGACCGGACCCCCAATCATCCTAATTAACTGAAAACTTAAAACGATAAATGAACGATAAAGATGTCCTCCGAAATGAAAGGAGGTTCACCAACTGACTCTGAGTTGCTCACTACATCAACGGTAAGTCGGATGTTGATCCTAGTTACTTGCGTCTGCATCATAATATAATGTAGGTCAACTAACATTAGTACATTGAATGTACAAGTACGCGAGTTGCAATGCTAAAACAACTTAAGCTTGAAAAGAGTACGAAACAACACTTACCTTGGATCTGCTAAATTCATGAATAACATAACTCAATGGTACTGAATCATTTTAATATAAAGCAATTTTAAAGCAAGTGCAATATAAAGAAAAATTGTTTGAAAACATGTTTTATACTCTGAATGTATAAAAGGATACAATTAAATATGATATGTATGTAAAAATACAAATAAATTGATGTATATATAGAAATACATTTAACATTTGTGGGAGTTTCTCTAACCGACAACCGTCACTTGAGAACTAGAGTGATGATACAATATTTTGCCTCACATTGTCAGGGTCGTCCTACACCTTGCCATAATTATAGACCTGAATTGGCTAATGGATCCACTAGTCTATGCTAACCAAGAACTAAATCAATCATCTAAAAAAAGTATGACCCTTTTCTATCCATGGTGCCTACATGGATTATGGAAGTTGGGAGTTATCTGAACTTCCACCCATATCGATGCTCAATACTACTTCTAGCAATATCATTATATTAGTTCTTATGTTTTAAAACATACTTACTTCTGTGATTTGAGATTAGTGCTCAAACTTAGCTCAAAGGCTATCTTGGAAATCTCGATTTCCCTACTTGCTTCATTTAGAAAACTATTACTCTTTTCTGAAAACTAGCCCGAAGGCTCTTTGGAAATCTTAGTTTCCCTTCTTTTTAAATGTGAAAAGATTTTTATACTTCCTTGGGAATACTTAGTTCTCATATACTGTTTTGAAGAAAAGACTTCACCTTACTCTGAACTAAACTCAAACTTAAGTCTTAAAATGATATTAAATATTTTTGAAAGACTTAGGAAACTTGAAATGAACAACTTCTTCTTCTTATCTTTACTCTTTACTCAACCAGATCTCTAAGTATTAAAACAAGTTTAAAAGCATTTGTAAAAGACTTCTTGAAAGGACTCTAAGAACTTTCTAAACTTGGCTCTAAACTTTCCTTGAATTTGAAGTTATGGATTCAAGGTTGTAATTCATGTTTCTAGATGATTTCTATATGATCAGAAGTCATTTAGAGTAGTCAGAATCATGAGAAAGAGTTAAAACACTTTAGAAAAGCTTAAACAGACTAAATTACGAAAATTGAGCAAAAAATGCCGATTCATACGCATTCTGGGAGCGCCACGCCAGGACTCAAGTCAGAGGCCTCATTTTGGCGCACTGCAGGCGTGCCGCCCTAGGCCCTCTAGCGCAGATGGGACGCACCACGCCTGGCTCTGCCCAGGTGATGCCTGACGAATTTTTATCTCAT